AAAGGTGTGGAGGAATGAGGTGCGCTTAAAGAAGAAGGACAGTGGTGGCACGGGAGGTACAGGATATATAGGACCTTTATAGCTAGAACATTTTGACTTTGTGAGTGAGATGATATGCTATTGGAAGATTTTGAGCAGAAGAGTGATGTAACTACTTAACATAGATTATTCTGGTGGCCTTTATTGAGACTAGTCCGAGGAGTGCAAAAATTACCGAACCGTTATTTTCTGGCCATTGCAACAGTCCTGACAGGAATCATCCAGTGTTGTACCTAGGTTGAAGGAGAAGCATTTAAATCTAGACAGTGGATTTTTATATTCATTGTAATTATGTTTTATAAGGTTACTGCAAATATTGAACTGTGGAATACAGAATTGTTCTTAGGGGACACAAAACGCTGAATTCCTACTAGTAAGATCACATTTTCCATAACACATGAATATATCTCATTATGTATGCTTGCATTTAATGACACCTTGTTTAATATGTATTGTGCATTATCCTTGAATTTGTAACCAATAGTGCTATAACTTATGATTAAACAAAGCTTATCTAACATGCATTTTTCTCCACAAAACCTGTTACCACCATGCATATAGGAACAGTAGACATGTCCTATAGTAATGTGAAGGTTACTAAGAGACTATAATAACAACTGATGTAGGCAGGAACCACTGATAGATATAAAAACTAGTGAGTGAACATTGGATGTGTAGCACCATATTAACATGTGAAGGTTTTCTCTACTAGTTATTAATTACAAAAGAAAATGAAATTATAACTTTGCTGAACAGAAAGCATATGGCATCTAGATACCTAAGGCAATTATAATAACTTTTATTTATTTATTTATTATTTATTTCTTTATATATATTTAAAGCATCATGTGAGCAGATCAACCAGACAGAGTTGAGTGAAACCTTGCCATCTTATGACTGGTGCTTCTTATTTTTAAAAAGTATTTATTATTATTATTGTTATTGTTATTAGCATATGTATTCACAGGAATGGCTGCAGCAGCCAGAAGAGGGTATAGGATCTCCTGGAACTGGAATTACAGACAGTTGTGAGCCTCCATGCGGCTGCTGGGAACCAAACTTGGGTCCTCTGCAAGAGCAGCAAGTGCTCCTACCTGATGAGCCAATTATAATAACTAATTATAATTATAATAACTTAAAAAGAGAAAAGTTTATTGAGCTTGTGTTTTTGGAGGTTCCTGTCCAGCATTGAGTAGCTCCCTCTGTTTGAGCCTCTGATGGGTATTATGCATGGGAGTGAACCACTCATATCGTGGGCTAGGAGAGAGAGAAAGACTGGGTACCACATCTATCCTGGATATGCCCCTAGTAACCTAAGGATCTTCCATTAAGTCCCACTGTCTCTGGGTTGTGCCACTCTGGGGACTGAGGCTTTAGCACATGGACTTTTAGGGCCATTCGCAATGTATTTCAGCACTTTAATAAAGTAGATGTTCATTTCTCGCATAGTTAACTCAAATACTAAGGATGGCCAAACAGTATTGGAGGATAGCACAGCCATTTTAAAAATAAGATGGTAAAATGCTTATTGTCATTGAAATCAAAACAGATTCTGTTGAGGGAAAGATCAGGCAGGACACCTGCTTCCTGTACACTCCTGGTGTCCTGCCTGATCATCTCACAACAGATCTACTTGTATAAAAAGTAGAAAATAGTCACTTTTGGAAAGTGACTATTTGGTTTTGGTTTTAGAAAGTAATCACTTTGTATTTATTATGAGGAGGCTTTGTACCATGATATTCAAGAAAAGGTAAGCACTATAGGAATTTATAATAAAAATACTTGACTTTCTAGACTAGCTTAATGACTAGTGTAGCTTGTTTTTTTAAAATGTCAACCTTACATAATTGAATTTTGCTAGCTTCATAATACTGTTTATGGCATGACATGCTATATACACACTCTGTTATTACAAAACATTAGATAGATTTGTCAACAAGTAGTGGTGAAAGAATTATAATTCAATCTCTGTGAATTTCATTATGTAGAGGAGGAAAAATTGGATATCCTCTTCCTTGTTAATTGACACACAGAATAACTCTGTGAACTGCTTCAATGCCTCTTATCATCTAAGTAAAAGCATACTCCAGACATATGATTACAGACATACGATTGTCTGTGAATGACAATTTGTTCACCCTATGTACTTTAAAGAAAACTTTTTGGGGGGCTAGAGAGATGGCTCAGCAGTTAAGAGCACTGGCTGGTCTTGCAGAGGACCTGGGTTTGATTCCCAGAACCCACATGGTGTCTAACTGTCTGTGATTCCAGTTCCAGGGGATCCAAAACCTTCTTTTGTCTCCATGGGTATTGCATGGCATGGGTGCACTATGTACATGCAGGCAATACACTCATACATATAAATTTAAGATAAATAAAATTAAAACTTTTTTATTGAATATTTACAATTTCTATACAATATAAGTTGATGGTATATAGATCCCCTCCCCTATCTGCACTTCCCTTTATTGTCCCCACTCAATTTAATGTATATAGCTTCCTGAGTGCTGGGATTAAAGGCATGTGCCACCACACCCAGCCTGCCCCTGCCCAATTTAATATATATAAATTATATCATATATATACTTATATATGGGATAGAATCTAATTTATGTCCCCAAATGTCCTTCAGTGTAGATCAATCCACTGGATTTTAGTTGACCTACCAAGAGTCCCATCTTTGAAAGAGACTGTCTCTCCCTTTCCCAGGAGCCATAAGTTGTTAAAATTTCCTTAGGTTGGGTTGAGGTGTCTTACCCACTTCCCCGTGTCTATGCTGGGATTTTTGTCTGGTTTGAACTTGCATGGGACTTGTGCATGCTTTCACCATTGATGTGAATTCATATGAGTCTCTAACTAGCTGTGTGGAAAACTGTTTTTTTTTTGTGGTCATCCACCACTTCTGGCTTCCCCAATCTTTCTTCCCCCTCTTCTACGATGATCCCTGACCCTTGGGAGGCAGAAGTTTGATATAGGTTCACCTTATGTACTTTATGTTACTTTTCATTTCATATGTAAGTAGTTTAAAATATATTAGAAAGTATACTAGTGGTCTGAGATATTCTGAATCAGATAGGTTATATGGCAAGAATTTTGTTAGTTTTTATTTTACAATAATTTTAAGTGAAGAATTAAAGTTTATTAATTTTTAAATAGCATACAAAGTAATGCATTTCACTGTGGCACTCTCATCTAGATATACATATATGTATATATAATTGCACTTTGTTCTCATTTACTGTTCTCCACTGCCCTCTCCCATCTCCCCTACCTTACTCTTACAGTCTCTTTCTCCCCAGATAATCTCTCCTTCTGTTCTTATGTGGCATATATTTTATTACCCTCTCTGTGTCCCTCTTTTGTTTGATATGGATATGTTATTAACATTTTGGTACTTGACTTAGATAGTCTCTATGGGACTGTTGATACTTAAACTCTGTACCCATAAGGGAGGGAGCAATAGATAGATTGCTAGTAGAGCACATTCTGCAAGCATGTTCCACTACCAAATGTAGATCTGCAGGGAGCAAAGTATAAGCTCAAATTCAAACCTCAAGGTGTCTTTGAAGAGTTGTTATTTTTATGTAATGAATTCTTTTTTGTATATTTTCAAAGGCAGCTATTTATTTTTCTAAATCTTACTAATGATTATCAATAAGCGATTGGCAATTAGAGTTTGGCTAAGTGATTGGCAATTGGAGTTTGGCTATAACACTCTTCTTTAGGTTATTGGTTATATACTGCACCTAAAAGAAAAAAGAAACATCTGGGAAATTCTTAACTTGACTGTTAATTTTTGTAGTATAAAAGCCTTAGTGAGTTGAGTGTTGTGTGTTTAGTGAGTCATTCTGCACTAGATAGAAAGGCAGATGGGTGGTATGCAGTTTAAAAATCTGTTCAAATAGGAAACAGATGGGTAGTTTAAATGTCTCCATGAAAATGTTTGTGTGGAGAGCATGATTCCTGAAATTAGAAAAAAAAGTTTAAAGAATGAATTAGGAATTCTAAAGTTAACGTAAAAAACTAAGAGTAAAAAAAGCTACATTGAATGTGGAATTAGGGGGCTCAGCGGTTAAGAGCACTGACTGCTCTTGCAGAGGACCCGGGTTCGATTCCCAGCATCCACATGGAGGCTACGAACTGTCCTTAACTCCAGTTCCAGGGAATCCGAAGCTTTCTTCTGACCTCCGCGGTATTGAATGACACGGGTGCACTCACACACATGCAGGCAATACACTCATACACATGTCTCTGTGCTTGATTTTCCAGGTCAGAACTGCCCAATGTCTGCAGTTTTCTTTGTTTCCCTGAGCTTTGTTTTCTCCTTTTGCCTATCTCTGTAACATTGCTTTTTCTTTCCATGTATTCTCATATTCTTGTTTACCAAGCTCTATATCAAATACTGTTTTCAAGTATGGAGATCCTGATAGTAGCACAGTTTCCAGTAGTGTCAAGTTAATAATATTCATTGCAAGGGAGGAAGTGTTGTCCTTTCCATCTTTTTATTTTTCTTTACATGCCCAACTTTTAAGTAGGTTTTCTCCACAAAGTCTTCTCTGATTACCCTTGTCTTTATTGATACCTCAAACACAGATCTTAAAACCTTAACATTATTTGCGTGCTTTCCTGCATGTGAACAGCTGTTCTGATTTGCTATGAGCTCCTTTGATGATGATAAGGATCATATTCCTGTATTTTATGTGTTGTAAATTTACTCTGATTTACTAAGCACTTACTTCATAGAATGCTTTCTTCATAGCAACCTCTGTGCTAAGAATGGGCAAATAGTACTTGACGTAATGCTCAGTAGATAGTCCATAATCAGCAAACGTTGATTCTTCATAAAACTTGTTGCTTCTTCATAAAACATGCAAAATAACATAAAATAGCAGTGGTCCAGACTTCATACAGTGAAAATAAAACTTATCTTTTTTTGCTAATGATTTTCAATGCTTTTTTAGGGAAGGAAACAGAAAAGGCCAAGGAGCGTTATGACAAAGCCACAATGAAGCTTCATATGCTGCATAATCAGTATGTATTGGCACTGAAAGGGGCCCAGCTTCATCAAAGTCAGTATTATGATACCACACTTCCTCTGCTGCTGGACTCCTTACAAAAGATGCAAGAAGAAATGATAAAAGCACTGTAAGATGCATTTCCTGTTTATTTTAAAATCCCTTCAAAATAGGATTTCAAGATATTTTTTCCCCACAGTTGTTTGCTTTGTGAGCTTCATTATTAACCAGGCCATTGGGTATCTCAGACCTGTTTTGCTTTTCTTTAGCTTCTAGTGTTCCTTCGAGTTGTGCTTATCTCCTAGCTCATCTAGCTAGCTTGAAGGACAGACCTCTACATAGTAATATATTTTGTTTGCTTTGCAGTTGTTCCACTTAGTTACATGATTAAATGAAAGAAATAATTTGTTAGTTGAAAAGTAGTATGTGAATACCTGTCTTCCAGAAGACTGGGCATTTAAATATTGAACTGGGCAGCTTTAAGGAGAGAATTTTTGTTGTTTGGTTTGAGACAGAGTCTCCCTATTGCCCCATTTGGCCTGGAACTTGCTATGTAGATCAGGCTGACCTCCATCTCCTAGAGATCTGCCTGCCTCTGGCTTCCAAGTGCTGGGATCAAAGGTGTGTGATACCAAGCCTGGCTAAGGAAAATTTTTTTCAAGGTTTATTTTCCAGTTTCTTTTTCATTTCTTGCATGAGCTTAAAATTTACTAATGTTTATAGAGATTCTACTGTATTCAAAACACTGCTCGGTGCCTTAGGATATAGAGACATATAGGCCACATTTCTTAACTTTCAAGGAGTTAACAGTGTATGGCAGTATATGCACCTCACACATTGACATGGGACAGCAGGAAAAGGTGAGCCATATTTGATGATTTTACCTGTTTTAGTATCTGGTTTATCATTTTTCAAATGATTGGAATCAGTTATCTCATTGAAAATGTATGTGGGGATTTTTTTTCCTCTGCCTTTTTGAGACAGGGTTTCAAGTAGCCTAGGCTGGCCATGAACTTGCTGTGTAGGAGAGGGTGACCTTGAACTTCAGTTCCTCCTGTCTCTACCTCAAACGTTGGGATTATAGATGTACCCTGCTGTGCCTGGCTCAGGGGAATTCATCAGTGTTGCTGTGCATTTGGAATAGGGTTGAAGATGGAGAAGAAATGGGATAGAAGTGTATGAGAGCTAGAGAAGAGAACATAATTGGTTGGATGCCTTTAAGGTGGAGATTAAGTTCACAAATGCCAGTTACCAGCATTCTTCCCATGAGAAGGATAAGGCAGTATTACATTTTCCCCAAATTCCTATGCACCTGGATTATCAGTGTGGCTTGATGTAAAAAGTCTTTAAGATGTAGTTATTAGTTAAGAATCTCAATGGAGCCTTTGTTAAGAAGAGTAGAGGACACAAACATAGAAGGGTATGTGAAGACTGAGGCAGAGATTGGAGTTGGGCTACCAGAAGGCAAAGGACATCTGGTGCCATCAAATGTATAGATTTTATTAGATTAGAAATGTTATCCTTTTTGTAAGGTGATTACCTTTTACTTCTCCTTATGGAAAGTGTGTACATGTAAGACTAAATTTTAGATGAACCACATTTTCACAATAAATAGGTGGAATAAGTGTTTTTAGTGGTTTAGTTTTAAGTGTTTAGTTAACTATGTAAGCTTTTATTTGTTGATAAAATTGTGGTCCATTTAAAATATTTAATTCATAAATTTATTTTACAGTTTGATTTAGAAATATTTTTATAGTATTTCTTTAGTAATAAAGTAATAAATTTCATTTCATGAATCAATATTTTTCAAATTATTGAAAAAACCTTTAGTAACAATGTCTCCATCATCACTAGAACATCTTTTTGAGATAAAATAGTTACTTATAGCATCTTGTCTTCATTTCATGCCATATTATGTTAGATCCAGCATTTTAAACATTCATATTGATAGCATCTTTGAAATTAAATTGCATCTCCCTATTCATCTTAAAGGTTAATATTAATGATTCATGTCATAACTACTTAATGATTTTCACATCATAACCATTTTAACCCCATAGCTAGTGACTAAATTTGTATTTAAGTTTCTCTTCTCTTTAAATTGTGCCCACTAGGTGATCTCTGTAATCATTTGAAACTAGCATTGTCTGAATCAACTTAATATTTTTTCTCCCTAATACTATTTTTCTGTTAAAACAAAGTTATTGAAATAGCATGTAAGGGAGCTTTGTAAATAATTATGTTGATTCATAAGTACTGATTTTAGAAAACAGAAAGATCATGTTTTATATTTATTTGGGTATATCTATCTGGGGTAAACTTGTTTGTCTACAGTTGTTACGGAAGCTAGTAATGATCAGTAGTTTATTTTTACAGCATACAACTTCAAAGTAGGGGATTTGGTCTGTGTGGCATTTTTTTTTCCTTTTTCCTCAATTAGACCAACCTAATGATTTTTATTGAATTTTTTATGAATTTTGTACAATATGTTTTGATCATATTTGGAACCCCTCCTGTATCTGTACCCCCTTCTAAGCCCCAACTAGATTTCTCTATATATCTATATAGATAGATATAGATATAGATATAGATATATAGATTTATGTCCCCAAATGCCTTTGGAGCCTGGGCAACCACCTTTGAACATGATTGAATCTCTCCCTAGCAGTCATTGGTTGCCAGTAGTTCCTTAGGTAAATTTGGGGTTTCTTGCCCACTTCCACATATCTGTGTGTGGATTTTGTCTGGCTTGAGCTTACATGCTTCTTGTCTGTGCTGTCACCGTTGCTGTGAACTCATATAAGTAACTGACCAGTTGTCTGGAAAACTTCTGGTCATCCATCTCCTGGTTCTTACCAAGTTAATAATTTTGTTGGCATTTTTGCTACAGACTGGAGGTCAGGAGAAGAAATTTAGATGTCACTGAAGTTGTACTAAGTACTGTATACAAAAAAACAACAAAGCCCCAGGAGCATGTGAATGTGGAGGTAGGGTATTTCAGGAGTGGTAGACATAAGCAAAAGAAAATTTACCAGGCAGGAGATGGTCAGAACTTCAGAGTCTAAAATATAAAGAAATAGAAAATAAGCAACACTGGCCCAGCATTTGGGATATACCCGGTACATATTTAAACTGGTAATGGTGTATTCTGGATCACTGTAATTATTGTAGTTATCAAATGTAAATTGCCACACATTTGTATAATCCCTTCACATTTCTTGTGTATGAAATAAGGTGGTTCACAAAACCACCATTCTTAAGCATTAATACTATGTTTATTGTTCTGAATCCTTTTTGGGTCTGTGTTATTCTTGATAAAACATTAACATGTAAAATTTCATTTTTGTTTCCAGAAAAGGTATATTTGATGAATATAGCCAGATAACTAGCCTTGTTACAGAGGAAATAGTGAATGTTCATAAAGAGATTCAAATGTCAGTGGAACAGATAGATCCTAGCACAGAATACAATAATTTCATTGATGTTCACAGGTAAGATATTTTCATTCCTTTTAAAGTATTTTTGAAGATACTGTTTTTATATACTATAATATTTAACAGAACTAAAATAAATATTTAAGGACCTTATTAGAGCATATATTATTTTATGTGAGTTTGTTTAATTTTTTTAAAGACCTCAAAGTTGATAAGTAATTCATAAAGTTATATTTAAAATTCTGCCAGTTGCTACATCATTACCTAAGTTCATATTTAACCTATGAAATTATATTTTCTTAACATTTATATAATAATACTATGGATTTATATGTGTATTAGGTTTTCTGGGGCACCAATTACTTTTCCTTGTATTCGTCCTATACTTCTAAAAATAATGATTGAGTTAAACTAGCCTGATTTGTGTCTATTTTCTATAAATGAGGAAAGTAAGACTCCAGTTACACGAACAGGTCTTTAATGCCCAGGGCTTATTTTATTTTGCACTATTGTGTTCATTTTGTTACTTACTGTAAACTTGGATAATAGTAAATATTTTGCTTTTGGTATGCACTAAGATAGATTATAGTATACCAATATTGATTAGAATTATTTGGCATACTTTACTAGAACAACAGCTGCTAAAGAACAAGAAATTGAATTTGATACTTCCTTATTAGAAGAAAATGAAAACCTTCAGGCAAATGAGATCATGTGGAATAATTTAACAGCAGAAAGTTTGCAAGTAATGTAAGTACTTAAAATTCTATGGTTTAAAATTAGTGTTATTATTGCTTTATAGTTAGTATATTTCATCAGCTTTAAAATCCTCAGCCTTTTGCAAGTAATAAAAAGCAAATTTGTTTGCTCAGATAACATATTTTGTGTGTGTGTGTGTGTGTGTGTGTGTGTGTGTGTGTGAATGTATACATGTCTGTGCTTGACTATGTGGAGGCCAGAGCAGAATACCAGGTGTTTCCATTTTAGTTCTTTGCCATATTGTCCCCAGAGTTTCTCACTCAACTGGAAGCTTACTGTAAGGTAAGGGTGACTGGGCTGAGCAAGCTCTTACAGTCCACCTGTCTCTGTCCCTCAATGCTAGGATTACAGGATATGCTTTCATGCGTGGCTTTGTCATGTGGGTGCTGGGGATGCAAACTTGGGTCTTCATGCACAGCAAATGCTCTTACTCCCTGAGCTAGCTCAGCCCCCCAAATGACATATTTAAAAAAAATGAATAACTATGTGATTTGTGAAAGAGATGTACTCTTGCTCTGGAGTGTGTTACTGAATATGTTGAAGCTGTAATTTTATTAATTTTGAAAATCAGAGTTTTATATGATACTGCATTAATTTATTCACTGCTAATATTTTGGAATAGTGTTTTATTCTTTTACATTTTTATTAATTTTAAAATTTCACCCTCAATTCTTACTGGCAAAACCATTTTGAAAGTGAGGACACTGAAAGTAAGAGATAGGAAAATCATTTATGACAGAATATTTAGCCCAAAATTTTACTCTTGATTGAATTCTTTTCTCTTGAAGGAAAGGTATATTCTGTTAAATCAGCTCTTTCTCCTTATTCTTGTGTATAAAACTTTAAGGGAGTCCTGAGAAATCCTGATAGTTTTAGTACTCATCAAACATTAAAGGCAATTAATAGTACTTTATGAATTGTGAAAACAAGATTAAGGCACTGTACTGTTAAGTGTTCTAAGCTGTCCCCTAATTTTTTTCAGGGATTATAAAGAACCATTAATTAATAAGCATTATATGTGCTTAGCTTTGTGTCAGAATTAGACCTAGAAAGTATGTATTTGTTTAAATATTGGACATGGTATATTATTTTGCTTGCTAATATTTTACCTTAAATGACTCAGATCAAAGTCCTCATGTAATATAATTAATCTATTATTAAGAAATACTATAAGTGATATATGTAGTCTACTAAGGTGACATTATAGGATTAATTCTTAGAAGTAGAGTTGAAATCTTTAAAGCTGGACAGAGAGAATTTAAGGAACTAACAAATGCCCATAATAATTATGGGAAACTGACTACTGATGAGAGAGTTGGAGGCATTGGAGTCCCCTGTATAGGAGAAGTTTTCCTAGCAGCCATATTTGGATGCTTGAAGCTATTCCACAAGTTTTTTATGCTCTGTATCTTCACTTCTCTGACTACTGATTTTGACCATGGACATTTACAGTGTTAGCCATCTGTAAATTATTAGTTCTCACCTGAACTGATTTTGTCCTTCAGGGGTCATTTGACCTTATTGGAGAACATAGCTTCTCAGCATCCTATAAAAAAAGAATTTTTGGTAACAATTTCAGTATTGTTGAAGTTGAGAAATCCTTCTATGAACAATAGAGTTGAACGTGTGGCACAAGATATTTGGTAGTTTCCCATTTTCTGTGTGATATGACATTCTGTTCTTTATTCATGAGCTGCATGGTAAAGAAATACAGCATCAAATACTCCTGATTTGTTTTTAATCACTGTCTTGCTTCTAGATAACTTATTTGTTCCTCAAAATATTTTATGGTATATTTAAAAGTTCTGTGATTAACATCCTCAAGAAATCAATAGGAAAACTGATCATTTATTTTAATGAACACCAAATAGAATGAATAGATAGAGATTGGAATATAGTGTGGTAAAATGAAAAATAGCTATTTGTTATCAACTTGTTTTTGAACAGAGATCTTTTTGGCCAAGGAATTTGTTTTATTGATTTCAGAGTAAAATAAGTATGTAATTAGTTATACTCATAACATTACTATTAATTATGATGATGAAGCATTGACACAAAAAAATAAAGATGATAAATCTGTGATACTGTAGGTGCAGATTTAATTGCGTATATCTTCATTTTGCAAAACTATCCACATTTCATTGAACAGCATCTATTCAGGATATGAGTTTAAGATTAGGATTAAGAATTTTTTCCTGGGGCTGGGGAGATGGCCCAGCGGTTAAGAGTACTGACTACTCTTACAGAGGACCCAAATTCAATTCCCAGCACCCACATGGCAGCTAACAAAATGGTCTGTAACCCCAGTTTCAGGGAAATTTGATGCCCTCTTTTGACCTCTGTGGTCATTGCATGACAGGGCTGCACTTAAATACATGCAGGCCATACACTCATACACATAAAATAATAAATATTTAAAAATTATTCTAAAAAAGACTTTTTCAACATATCTGTTGACAGTGTTAAGAGGGTAGCTTAATATAATTACATTAAAAAGTGTCTACTGGGATGTGGTCTGTGGCGCCATGTTGGTGCACTTGCCTAGCATGCATAAGGCCCTGAGTTCAATTCCAGTCCCCACAGTGTACTGAAGAAAAATTTAAAACAGTGAAATATTATACCATGTGATAAGTGATAAGATTGGTAAAATGTATCAGCTATCTTTGTTTATCTGCCTGTCTGTCTGTCTGCATATCTGTCTGTCTATCTGCATATCTATGTATCATCTATCTATCTATCTATCTATCTATCTATCATCTATCATGCTAGGTGGGTCCTAGATAAAGAATGAATGTGTGCATGCATAACTGAGAAGAATACAGCATTGCATCTATCTATCTATCTATCTATCTATCTATCTATCTATCATCTATCTTATATCCATCTATCATCTATCTACAATCTATTGATTATCTATTGTAATAGGTCACTGTCATGTGTCTTTGAATCCTACCATCTATCTATCTATCTATCTATCTATCTATCTATCTATCTATCTACCATCTATCTATATCAATCATCTATGTACCTACCTACCTACCTATCTATCATCATCTACCTGTCTATCATCTATCTATCAATCTATCTTCTATCATATATCATAATCTATCTATCTATCTATCCATCTATCTATCATCTATCATCTGTCATCTATTTATCATCTCTCTATCATCTATCTATCTATCTATCTATCTATCATCATCTATCCAATCTATTGTGGGAAGCGAGCACGGCTGAGTCAGCCAAAGATGGCGCCTTGGCTGGCTGCCAAGCCTCGTGACTCCAACCCTTGGCTGGCTGCCAAGCCTCGTGACCCTCGCTTGTTTACTCCAACTCGCCCAAGCCTGAGGAGCCCGATCATGTGCTGCCTGCCTGATCAGAGACATCATCAAGCATGACCCGGCTGCGTGGCCCAATGAGCTGCCACTCTGCCTGCCTGCTGTCTGTGTGTGTGTGTGTGTGCGCCCTGATTGGTCCTGGCTGGGAGGAGGGCTGTTGGGAACAAACTATATAAGGACTGAAGTGCGTAATAAAGAAGAAGAAGCCTGAACCTCACCTTCCGGTGTCTGTGTCGTCTTTCCTCGGCTCTGCTGGACGGAGTCGTGGCTTGCGCAATCTATCATCCATCCATCCATCCACCTGCCTATTATCTATCTGTGTGTTTGTGGATGTGTGTATATTTTGTAGTACTGGGGATCAAATCCAGGGTTCCTGCACTCTAGGCAAGCTTTCTACCACTATTGTAGTTTCATTTCTGCTGCTGTGACAAATACGTTGACCAAAAGCAACTCTAAAGAAGAAAAGGTTTATTTGGCTTATAATTCTAGGTCATAGCCTATCATTGGAGGAGGTCAAAGCAGGATCTTGAAGCCAGGCCTGCTTGTTATTCCATACAGCATTGCCTTATGACCAGGGAACTAATATCATAGCCTAAGAAGCATGGTAGGAATCACAGAAGATGCTGCTTTATGCTTAGCTAGCTTTTTTTAAAATTAGGACTACCTGCCTAGGAAATGGTGCCACCCACAGTGGACTGGGCCCTTTGCCATCAATGAACAATCAAAGAAACTCAGCCAGGTGTGGTAGTGCACACCTTTAATCCCAGCACTAGGGAGGCAGTAGATGGATCTCCATGAGACCAAGGCCAGCCTGGTCTTCGGAGCAAGTTCCAGGCCAGCTGGGGCTACAGGGAGACCCTGTCTTTAAGAACAACAACAAGGACAACAAAAACAACCAACAGTAACAGCAACAGCAACAACAACAAATCAAGGCACCTGTCCCCCAAGGCATGCCCAATCACCAGTCTAATCTAGGCAGTTCCTCAATTGAGACTCCAGATAATTAGTTTCCAGATAATTCTAGTTTGTGTCAAGTTGACAGTTAAAGATAACCAGGACAACCATTGAGCTACATCCCATCCTAAAACATACACACCTGTTCATACACATATATGAAAGAAACACAGAAACAGTCCTTAGAAAAAATAAATGCAAATAACCAGTAATCCTATGGAAAATACTTTTGAGAAATTATTTTTATTTTATTTTTTTTAATTGCTTTTATTGTGTGTATTTCATACAGAACATCTCAAACCATCTTAATCTTTATACCCATTGTCCCCACTGATACCCTCCCATAGCCCCCCACTGGAGCCATATACTCTGTCATCTCTGTCAAGGCCCACTGTGTCAAGTCAGTGTCCCCAGATTTCCCCAGTGTAAGTCCATCCACTGAGGTCTAGTCAGCCTACCTAGAGTCCCTTGTTTTAGAAAGATCGGCTCTTTCTCACCTAATAGCAGTCAGTTGCATATATTTCTTCAGATAAGATTGGGGTCTGCTGTTCATTTTCCTAGTTCTATGCCTGGTTTTTGTCTGCCTGAGTTTGCATGGGACTTGTGTATGCTGACACTATTGCCATAGAATCATATGAGCAGGTCACCAGGAGCTTATAGGACTCTGTTTCCCTATGGTTATGCACCTCCGCCCTGGCT